AGCGTCACCACGGCAGCTCTGACGTCACAAAACTGACATCAAACAAGGTTTTACTCCCGGAAGCAGGAATCTCAGTCACCCAGAGACAAGCATGATGTAAAAAATAACAAAAAAACCCTGATTTTTTTTTTTTTTCCCCATTTCTCTTCAAGTTTGCTTCTTTTCTTGGTATTCACATATTCCATCTGACTTGTTAATTGGAGGCAAATCCCCCCTCTAAGGAAACAAACAGGTTTCCTCAGGAGCTGTGAAACCGACCAAGGTTCCCACACATTGGAAAAAAATCAACACCCTTTTGCCAAAGTCTGCCTGACAGCTATTTGTGTTCCTTTTCTTTTTCAAAAGACAAGGTAAGTCTGAGAATGACTAATTCAAAAACAGCAGTGATGTGAAGCGTGGGCACCATGTTTGTGGGTTTGTTTGGGCTATTGCAGCCATAAAGAAAGACATGAAAATGTGTTGCAGGTTGAATCAATTGAAGATTGTTGACAAACTATGGCAGATAAAATGGCATCCAGATGAAGCCATTATTTGACAAAATACAGTTTCCCCAAAAGACTTCCAGATAAATTCTTTGAAAAACAAAAAGAAAAGCAAAGAGAAACAAACGTGCACATCCTGTTAGCTTCAGCCGTCTGGTGGAAGAGCCACATGTGTGAACATCTGCATGGCAGTGTTCAAAGTTTGTAAAATAATCAAGCACTGATCAATACCCAGCCGGTCTGCTGAATCCTCTGCGGACAGTAAGATCGATGGAGGTGATTGAACGGAGAGGTTCCCATGCAATAAGCAGCAATACGTTTCCAGAGTTGTTTTGCATTATTGCCTGGTGAGAAGCAGAGAGCCTCTTAAACAGACCATCAGCTCCCTCATAAGTCGGCTCTTCTTCCTAAACGTTTAGCAGCGTTCCCTCAACAAAGACCATCAAGACCACCTCACCTCATCTCATCTCAGACAACATCCTGTCAGTCATTTTAAGATCCTGATCATGTTTAACTTAAATAAATGTTCTAAAATGTATTTTCTTATCTACAATATTTTTTTATTATTAGCAGTATTTCTTGCATGTTGTAAACTTTTTTTCTCCATATTAAAGTGTTAATCATAAACACAATATAGAAGTAGATGAACCAGACTGTGCACTCTTCCATCATAAACAGTTACTAAACATAGTCAACATTTTTACAAAACATAGGTGTTCTCATAAGTTATGTTGAAAGTGCAGTCCAGTACATCACTTCTGAAAAGAAATTGTTGACATTATTGAGTGAGAGTGTGCACATTTATAATTATAACTATCCATTATAAATGTATTGCCTTGCCTGTCTGATATTAAATCTGTATTTTCCTGTTTTGGTAAAGATTAAATTTTTTTCTGTTTGTTCGAGGATAACAGACTTGCCTCAAACTCAGAAGTTTATATGCACTAAAATGACTTTGCCTTTACAGAGTTTGGTAAAAACCCAGATTAGGATTGAAAACATTCCAGTTAAATAAAGGCTCACCATTATAAGGCGGCACCACGAACATGCTGCTTCTTTTTACGACTGAAAATATCAGTTAGACAACTGATTTTTGATTCAACCAATTACTCATAAATACAAACACTATTGGTGTTGACCCAAGAAAAAAAATCTAACATATTTGGATGCAGCAGCAAGTAAAAACCATTCACAGTAAAATGAGTCTTTTACCAAGATGCCTCTCAGAATGGAATAAGTTGTTACTTGCTGTTATGTTTACCTATAATTAGCAGAGGAGAAAGGAGATACTTACAAGTTTGAGAACAAAGGCACACACACACACACTGACACACACACACCGACACACACACCGACACACACACCCACACACACACACACACACACACACACGCACACACACACACACACACACACACACACACACACACACACACACACACACACACACACACTCAGGATCCCTCACAAAGAGAGACCCTTAATGAAGCTGCAGCAGCTACAACGTCGTGCTCGACAGAAACTGTTTTCTTTCTCTGTAAGTAAGCATCGGTGCCTCTGACGTTTGAAAGCTTTGCCTTATTTCAGACTCAGAGCCACAATCACACACACCCAGGAGGCATGAGTCCGACAGAGGAGGAGAGGAATCCACTTACACAGACAGAGACAGAGCGCCGCAGCCTGCCGTAAAGCAGACTTTCTCCCTGCTGCGTATGATGAATTCTTTCATTTCCACTGATCAGATTACAGCTGTGTGTGTGCCTCAGTTCGGAGGTAAAGACTCACTTTTATTGCTTCTGCTTCTATATTGTACTTTTACTCAACTGTGACTGAAATAACTCCATATGACATATTTCAAATGATACAGATTTTAAAGAAAAATTATATGAACATAAATATGAGAACACAAATTACTGTCACACTGCAGTCTTAATATGACATCTCATGTTTTGTTTAATTTGAAAGTAGAGTCGTAGTTCTACATGAACGCGTCTCTGCATCAAGTCAAACTTCAGAGACTCGAGATGGATTTTTGACTAGACGCCTTCACTCTGACACATTTAAGAAATCACCCAACATGCGGAATGTAATCTCACTATGAATGCAGTTGTTCATCACAGGACTGAAAAACAGGACATGGAGAACAGGCCTGGTAAAAAGAACCAGCCGGTCTGCTGGTTCCCAAAGGTTTTCTGTATTTGTATAAAATATTTTTTTAAAATAACATGCACAATTTTCTTCCCATACACTTCACAATGTTGGACATCAAAGAATTATTCTGCTTCATCATCAAATACTGACAGGCAGATTGTTTCATTCTGATGTCTAACAGGTGACTTACTTCTCCTTTAAAAAAGCAGGAGAATAAAGTGTTCTAAAGACATTAAAATTGCTTTTTTTTTCAAATCTGCAGCCAAACATGTACATCAACATGTTCATGTTTACACACGTTTACCAGCTTCACACTTGATTCTTCTCAAATCCTTCCATCTTCTGTTCTCAACACACTATTTGTAATAAAATGTTTGATGATTCTAGTTTCCAAAATCTTATCAGTTTCCAGAATCCTACTCCTTCTGAGAGACTTTTGGTCATTTCTGACTTTCCAGAGGAAGTTAAATTTATTTTTTAGTCAATTTTGCCTAAAAAAAAAAAAAAAGAAGAAGAAGAAGAAGCTGACCGACTAAGATTAAGCACACCTTGAAATCATGTATCAATCTCCATATCCTCCTTCATCATACAGAAACACATCACCTGCCATGATAAAATTCATTAAGTTTTTGAGTTTATTCAACTCAGAATTGGAAACTATGCCTACATATGATGATGCAAAGAGGATACGTGTGAGATGAGCAAGCAGAAGACAGAGCAAAGAGAGAGAGAGAGAGAGTCAGCTCAGATCCTCTTTGCTGATTGGTGGTTTGTCGTTGAGTCACACTCCATATCAGTAGGTGGCAGTAATGCAACCGTAACGTTTTTTGCCAAACACCAATTGAAAATAAATCAAAAAGAAGAGAAATGTTGTTCCTGCTTAGCACTGGGTGAAGACGGAGTTTGATTTTTCCACATATTATCTGTCTCATCTGTCATGACAGTTTCAACAAACATGTAAAGAAAAAAAAGAAAAAGAAAAAGAAACATTTTTAGAAAATGCGTTTTATAAAAATGTGTGTAAGAAACGTAATGTACTGTGTGGCTTACACTAGATCATCAGCTTTGACAGGTTTTAACAAAGACAGATGTCTTATTTTTCAGATGGGGCCAAGTTTGTTTGGATAACAGTTATTTATTTATTTGAGAAATAAAATCATCATTTGCAAACTACTTTTTGTGTTATGAACAAAAAGGAGAAATAGACAAAGAGTGCAAATAATAATAAACAGCAGCTTTTCTGTGAGTTTAAAAATAAGGCATGTAGCAATTTTTGGTTGAATGGAATGTCAGAGGTGTTGAGCAGATTGGCTCTTTGTGAATTATGTGTTTGAACACCAAAACGCTGAGGTCACTGCCGATACACTGGAGGTCTCTGGAGCCGTAAATACAACAACTACAATAGAAGCAATTGGAAAACACTGTCTAAAGGTTTACAACATGTACTAATCTCTGCTCTGTGTAAGTGGTCATCCTGTCAGTGAGAGGTGAGGGTTACATTAGGTCGCACAAACAAGATAAAGCATCCAAAGAGAAAGCTGCGGCCGGTTGAGGGGGGATGTGAGGAGGGCGCCGAGGGGAAGGTTTCAATTAGTTCAGAGGCTGTTTGTCTGCAGGTCCGGCTTTAAATGCCAGGAGAGGCTCAGACTGACCACAGATCAATGACAGCCTGGAGGTGAAAAGGTGAAGTTGCAGGCTGTGTTTCCAGGAGGGGGCGCTGACCTTGGTGCTGAAGCGGCTTTCTCTGCCTCAGTCTGGAAGCTTTAAAATCATGCATTTCGTTTTTATGAGGCGCGTTATTGTCTGTCCATCATCGACATGTTTGGTCTCTGTGTTTTCATTAACCTCCTTCAGCTCCTTTAGCATATATATATATATATATATATATATATATATATATATATATATAATATATATATATATATATATATATATATATATATATATGTAGTTAATTTCGCCTCTAAGGGTCATGACGATGTCCTTCCAACAGCTGCTTTCACGCGTGTCATTAGCTGACGTGTTTGTTGTGGGCTCAAAAGTAGAAAAAAAAAGGTGAATATTAATCCCACTCTGGCTGCAGCAGTGGGCTTCTTGGAAAGCCGTCTCGCCGCGCGCGCTACCCGCACGTCACGCGGCTGACATCAGCACGCGGCTTATATACCAGCAACCTCGCGCGCTTGAGACATGAAAGAGAGCGGCTGCTTCATGTGGGCATCCTGAGATCTGAAGCGAACAGTTTTTTGTGATTCACAAACTTTGCGGGCATGGACTAGTTTTTTTTTTTTTTTTTTTTTGTCCCCAAAACTTTTTTTCTGCACTTTATTCAAAAGTTCCAACTTAGTTGTTTTGTTTCTGTTTTTTTATTTTTTTATTTAAAGAATGATTAACGAAACCGCTGCGTTTGGGGAACTGGACTCCGACGTTTCTGAGCCGATGCACTCTCATCTCCTCAGCCACAACCTCACCACCTTCCCCGCGCTCCGACTCGAGTTCAAGTCGCTGGTCACTTCAGCCACGATGTTCGCCGTGGGAGTTCTGGGGAACCTCATCGCCATTGTCGTGTTGTGCGTCTCCAAGAAGGAGCAGAAGGAAACCACCTTCTATACGCTGGTGTGCGGGATGGCCATCACCGACCTGCTGGGCACGTGCTTCACCAGCCCGGTGGTCATCGCCACGTACGTGTCCAGCCGCTGGCCGGGAGGCGAGCTGCTCTGCCACTTCTTCTCCTTCTCCATGCTGTTCTTCGGCTCGGCCGGGATGTCCATCCTCTGCGCAATGGCGGTGGAGCGATACCTGGCCATCAACCACGCGTATTTCTACTCCAAGCACATAGACCGGACCATGGCGCGCTTTGCGCTCCTGGTCACCTACCTGGCCAACATCGTGCTGTGCATCATGCCCAGCTTTGGCTTCGGACAGCACGTCAGGCACTTCCCCGGCACTTGGTGCTTTCTGGACTGGAGGTCGGGAGATCCGGTCGGCGCGTGCTACTCCTTCCTGTACGGCGGCGTCATGCTGCTGCTGATCGCGGTGACTGTCATGTGCAACCTGGCGGTGTGCAGGTCTCTGGTGGGGATGAACCAGAGGACGGGGATCGTCAGGACGGAGCTGTGTGAGCACAGCGGGTTACGGCGTCGCTTCCCCCGGCTGTCTTCTGTAACCTCTGCCGCAGAGATCCAGATGTTCTGGCTGCTGGTCTTCATGACCATCGTGTTTCTGGTCTGCTCCATTCCCTTAGTGGTGAGTTTGAATTATCTTCAGCATGGTTCTATTGTGGAGGATACAATTCACATATTTCTGTTTTTGTTTTATTTGCTTGTTTTTTACCTGCCAGGTGCGAATCTTCGTGAACCAGCTCTACGACCCCTCCTACATCTCTGCTGGGGGGAGACCTGACTACCGGGGCGACATGCTGGCGATCCGCTTCGCCTCCTTCAACCCCATCCTGGACCCCTGGGTCTACATTTTGTGCAGAAAGAACCTGTTGCTGAAAGGCTGCGGAAGGCTCAAGAGTGTGATGACTCGGGCAGAGGACGGCCGTGGGGACGAAAAGAGCTGGGTGGAGGGTCGGAACTCCCCCCCATCTATACACAGCAACTACACCAGTTATGCGTCGTTGCGCACGGCCAGCTACAGGAACGAGCCGGGGCTCCCGCTGCCCATCAAGAACTCCACTTTCACAGACTTTGCGCTCCGACAAGCGTGGGAGTACGACACGGCGCGGGTCAACTTCCACCCGTTCAGCGTGGAGTCCGCGGCGAACATCGGCAGCGAAGAGGAAGCAGAAGCAGCGATTCACCCGGGACACGACGCGGCGGAGACGGTCTCTCCAGGACGGGGCGGCGTGGGGCACGTCCACAGAGTGGACATCGTCACCTGCACGTTCAGCACCCCGAGCTCCAGTCAGTCTGCCAAATGCTTCTGATGGCCCCAGACTGGGCTCCAGGGCCGTCCAGAGACATTCAATGAGCCAGGGGCGCAACACCTAAAGAAAGAGGCTTTGGTCAAGAAAAAGGCAACACACCGATATGATTCAAACAAACTATAAGTTCCCCTTTAAGGTTTCCTTGAGGTTGTTGCTCAGTTCCACTCACCCTGTCTCTGTTTTCCATATTGCTGTATATTTTTCTCCTTCCTTCCATCAAACCAAAAATTCATCCATTTTAGGTCATTAATGCTACAGTTACACCCATGAACAGGACAAAGCGTCACAATGTTTACAGTTACTGTCTGTGACAGAGAAGGCAGCTGAATTCTATAAATACATAAATACTCATAAATCATTTGGATGCTGAGCATTTTAGCGGCTTTCTGCCGAGGTTGGCACAACATGAAAGAAAATCAGACTCTGAACAAGAGTCGTGTTGTGCGTTTCTGGCTTTTCTATTGCTTATTTGCCAGGAACATGGGCGCCCCTTGTGGTGAGCAAACAGAAAGCGTTGTAAAAAAAAAATAAGAAGAAGAACGTTGAGGCTGGAGATGAAGTCATTTAACTTTTAATGATTCAGAGCTAAGTTAGGGTTTGGGTTAAATGGTTGTTTATGTGTTTTAAAGTAGTCAGAACATCTGGGAAATGAAACCTCACATATTTAGACTGATCAGTCGGACCTCAGCTGGATTGATCTGCACTGAACATCATTCTGAAATCTTCATTTTATTTGTGAAACAACCAACAAGAGCATTTTGGTGCCTCAGATCTACCTGATGAAGGAAAACATGAAAAGCACAATGTTTTCACTGGTCAAGCCTGGATTGAAATAGTGTACAGTGATTATGGATGCCACTGTTTCTAAAAGCTTCTTTTGGACAGTGGGCTTCTGGGGAGGAATGGATGTGTGTGTTGTGTCAGGGGAGTGACACAAGCAGCAGGTCCAGGACAAAACAAAGCTGCTGCAGAAAGCAGAGTGAGAGGAAACTTAGAGGAAAAAAATGTTTTGGAAAGTCTGAAAGTCTGAAGTGGAAGTTGTCAGCTGGATTAATGGAAAACCAACTCCAACATTCACTGCATGTAGGAATTAAATAAAGCTGGGATGTCAAAGAAATTTAAGATGGACATTTTTGCAGGCAGGGAAATGTGCGTCACCACTAAGGGCTGCACATTGTATCGTAAGGAAGTCTTAAACATGTTTGGGATTAATGTGGATATCAGAAAAATCTATTTTTTAAAGCTTTAGCTTATGTTCTGTTATTTGATCTTCAGAAACATACCTGGAGTGTTGCCTTGATTACTTCCTGCATGTTTGAGGAGTCCTTGACTCTCCGGGGGCAACCAAACAGGGTGCATAAACACTTCCTCTCACCAAGTGTTGTGTTTTCCACACAGCTCCTGCTTGGACTTCCTTAAGGCAGAGTGTCATAAAGCGTAGGAGCTTCTTAAAGAGACAGAGACCGCAGAGAAGACATCAAACTGCAAAGTCATATTACTTTCATGTTATTTTTGATACATAAAGCATTTTCATAACAACGGCAGTTAACACAGTTGCTTGTGCTATAAAATTACACTATGTGCCTGAAAAACACATTACACTGTCCCTTTAAGAAGGATTTTAATAGACCATACCTTCATTTCTTCTTCCTAGTCTTACTTCAACCAGTTTCATGCTTTAGAATGTAGAAAAATCTCAATAGATGTGGAATTTTTTTTACATTTTTCAAATGTTTCCTCTCAGCAGATTGCCTCAGTGATGTTAAAAAAAAAACAGGCTTCTGCCAGCAGGATTTATTATCTAACAAACTAATAAAGCATTAGCTTTTTCACACACTGCATTAAACTGGAGAGAAAAATTCCAATTTATAACTTTTATTTGAAACCGAAACACAGTGAGATTCATATGTTTGTTTAGAGACACGGGAAGCCAATGAATGAAAGTTGCTGACCATACAATCTAACTGTGGAGCAAATCAATCAATCCCCAAATAATTGTCAGTTTCCTGTTGTATTTTATATTTATCACACAAAGTTTAATTTTTATGGTTCTGGTTGTATTTCTTCTTCCAGCAGTGTTGAGTTTTCCGCTTTCAGCCAAATCACAGCAAGGCGTCCAACCAAAATGTGGGACATTTTGTTGATCTTCCTAGAGGAAAAAAATGTTTTGGAAAGTCTGAAAGTCTGAAGTGGTGTCTGAAAGTCTGATTGCTACTGTGTTCATTATGAACACAGTAGCAATCAGCAAGGCCTGGTCAGGATGATGGGAAATCCTGCCTCATGAAACGCTGGCAGCATTTAATCTGTAACATTGAGTTACTCTGGTGGTGCTGGCTCACATGCTGCTCTTTAGCCTAAAACTGGAGTTGAGTTGGGAAAAGTTCTACCAGCATCTGCCAAGATGTCTTCATAGCTCCCAAAATGAAAACACAAAACAAAAGGAGGTAGTAAAATGTAAGCTGTGCATCGTGGAACTGGAGGGGTTTAAAGCCAGCAGCTGAATCACTGAAGGCTGAAGAGCAGAACACGGTTTCCACTTTGGCCAGAGACGGACATTTTTTCCATTTCTCTGGTGAAAAAACATCTGCTGCAGAATGGATCTCTGATTAGGAATGTTTGTTTTTTTATTCTAAGCACTGGAGTAGAAATATTAATCTACCCCATGGGTACAAGTTGTGTATGATCCTCAGAGATCAATGCTCTAAATGTCAGTGTCATCCACTGTTGCTGTTCATCCATCATGTGTTGCTGATGGTCTGTATGCTCTCATTTCAAGCTTTATTTGTAATGTGTGGAGAATTTAATGTAAACATTGTGCATTTGCGAGGTGTTCATATTGCATATTTTCATTTTTAAGACTTACAGAGAAATCTCACACAGAGAAAAACATCTTTCTTGTCAGACACTTTCAGAGACTTATGTTGGATCTGTTGGTCGTGAGGAAAATTAAATGAATTAATGAAACATTAGAGCTGATTGTTGTCGTTTGGGTTTGTTTGTGTGCAGAGGCGCGAGCTGGGACGCAAACCTCCCAGATGAAATCGGTGCTTCCAACTTCGGCCACCAGGTGGCGGTGCAACCTCAATCCACAAGGCGGCAGGTTTCAGCAAACTGACCACGTGTGTCTGAGCAGAACAATGATGAAACTATTTAGATTTTGAAAACTTTATTCCCAAGGAGGATAATGCCATAAAAATATAGAACATTTCATAATAATAATAATCATGATGATGATGATGATGATGATGATGGGTAACAGCGAGTGTCATATGAATTATGGAACCACTACAATACATGAAAGACAGTTGGAGGTTTTGTTACGTTAAAAAATATCTCATCTGTTTGCAATTGGACAATTTTAGTCGAGTTCAGCCAACTTCCTTTGTCGCCAGCAGTAGGCATGGGTCAGTTTCATGGTACCTTTAGACACAAAGGTTCTAACAGAAATTTTCTGGCATCCTCAGAAAATTTTAAAGGGGTGGCACATCTAAGAAAAAAGTTATATATATATATATCCGTATATATAAAACTAGGCCATGAAAATCTCTGCTTTTCATGGCCTGAAAGAATAGATGTCAAATGACATCCCATCCAGAAATGTCTGAGCTCTTATCACTGTGAGGTGTTTTCACTTGTCATGGCGAATATGTGTAGAAGTGAAAAGAAAAATAAACACAATAGTTTGAAGAACGTGATCGTCTCTTATCCACACCTCTTCGCTGCAACAAGCCCAGATTTGTGAAAACAAAACAAATACTAAGTTTTTTTTTTGAAAATGAAAAATGATCCAACAATAATAAATTTACCACACTATCCATCTACAGTAATTTGCATGAACAAAAAAAAACACGGGGGTTTGCACGTAACCCGGCTCTCGCCCAGGGTCCCACGGTTTTCCAGATCCAGCAGTGACTGCTGGTCAGCTGGCTGAAAGAAGGCTTCTACATTCACTAAGCTTCCTGGCTCAGACAAAACACAAACCCAGCTGCAGTGCAGAAACTAGAAGAAGAACCACCAAGCATTCCTTTCAAAGTAGTGCTGTTTTTAAGGTATGGCTGACAAGCTACAAGTGTCATACGTGTTAAAGAGGCGGTGGACACTCCACCTGCTGGAAGCCTGGCTAACTGACCAACTAAAATCAGCTTCTTGAATTTTCTTTACTCTGTAAAGAGGAGACCAGAAAAATGTCCAATATTCTCACACTAACATTACCAGTTATTCATTCTGGATTTTTAACAATAAATATGTGACACAAATAATTAGGGGGTTGTCGTTTCAGCAGCCACAGAAATAATTGCAGCTCTTCCGTTAAAGGGGAACAGATCATGTCATGTTAAAAGTTGTGTTGTTGTTACTTCATGTTATGAGAGTTTTCTACTGGCCCATGCCTACATGTTGGAATCAAAACTGAGAGGCGACATTGAGGTAAAAACAAAATAAATCAGGATCATTACGACAGCATGGAGGAGAATGAGAGAGTCACTGTAACTTTAGTTACGGTAACTTTTTGTTCCTACGTTTGAAAAAACTGTGGAAATGAATCACTGAGACGGAGTCAACAAAAAGCAGCTGCGAGGGTGAAATGTGAATCTTGGCAATAAATAGATATATTTGTATCTACATTATAGAGTCCATATAAAACAGCTCTCATATGAAGCCATAATAAATAAATAATTTATCTGTAATAAATATATTTTACTCTTACACAGTAATACATGAAGATGCATGGCATCCATTAGGCTGAGTTCACCTGAACATATAGAAAAAGATACAATGTGAGGTCTCTGTTTGTGTGTGTGGGGTTGGGTGGGATGGGGTCAGGTGAGGTGGGGTGAGGTGGGGTGGGGTGGGGTGAGGTGGGGTGGGGTTAGGTGGGGTGGGGTCAGGTGGGGTGGGGTCAGGTGGGGTGGGGTTAGGTGGGGTGGGTCAGGTGGGGTGGGGTGAGGTGGGGTGGGGTTAGGTGGGGTGGGGTCAGGTGGGGTGGGGTGAGGGCTGGATGTGGGGTTGGGGAGAAGAAAAAGACTTTTGGGGTTTTTTTGGGAAGTGCTGGTTTCACCGTTTGCAGTAAGCGTTTAGTTAAAGTTACAGTATAAACACAGTGTCAGTCCTTTGACTAGGCTTTTTTTGTTCTTTTATCTCAGGTCTCTTCCGACAAAAAGTCAGAACACGTTTAGATAGGAGTTTTTGTTTTTGTTCAGGTTATTTTCGGGGGAGTTCTGGGGCCCGCAGGTTCCTGAATCCCGTGTCCAACATGGATGTGAAAACATTCTGTCCATTCCCTGCTGCTGCTCCACATTAGTGTCTGATTGAAGCCCTTTTTCGTCCAGCTGCTCTGTAACTTCCCATGTGCGACAGCGCCTCCCTCTGGTCTTTTTTTTTTTTGCACACAGTGCTGAAGGTCCGTTCAGCCGATGCACATGCAGCTGGCAGCTGAAAGTGACTCTATGGTCCTCCAGGTGGTGGAGGTGTCCATGAAGGAAACCGGCTCGTAGCGGTCTGGCCGGCAGCAGGGGTTCCTGCTCACCTTCCGGGCGACGCGGCGTGGCAGGGAGCCGTTTTCCAGCAGGGCGTTCAGCGCCAGATCATAGTTTATCCTGGAGCTCTGGCAGGAGCCCACACAAAACTTAAAGAGGACGATCTCGTCCGAATCAAAGCCCAGTCCGAGGTCCCGAACCTTCATCTCTTTCTTCTCCACCCGGCAGTCCCTGCTGCTCTGTTTTGGGGGCCGGCTTTTACCTTTCCCCCTTCTGTCCGCGTTTCCCGCCTCCTTTCCTTCATCCTCTCCTTTCTTCCTCCGTCTCTTCTTCTTCTGTGACCCCTTGGGCTGAGGTGCTGTGGGGTCGGAGGAGCGTGGGCTGCGCCCTGCCCAGCGGGAGCCAGGATGGTCATCCAGCTCGTCCGTCACAAAGGGCTCTGAAAAGACAAACCCACAAAAGGATGTAGGAGACAGAATGACAGAAGATACAGAGATTCAGCTGGATCTGTGAAGTCACTGACATCATCAGTTCTTCAGGTCTACCATCCTGATGCTTTTAGATTCACTCATCCCACCACCTGCATCTAATGAATGGTTCTTTACCAAGATTCTTTTATTGAACCAGTTGACTTATTAAGAACAAATTCTTAGTTACAACGAGGACCTGGTGCTCTGCAGAGCTGAACCGCTGCTGGAGAGAGAACTCAGGTGTGCTGTAGTGGAGCTGCTTCAGATCAAAAATACAAACCCTTACAAAACTGTTTATACTGGTGAACTTTTAAAACGTTTTTATTGTATCCTGTCCGGCAGAGCAGTCAGTGTCCGAGTGTCGATGTGACACTATAGATTTACTTTCTCAAGAGGAGTGTTACGGCTTTGGCTGCAATGCTACACTTGTTATTTATATGAAACTTCATTAGAAATAGCTTTGGGTTTATAATGGACGTGAAAATACGTGGTACAAGTAATACATGATGTATTTGGTGGCAACCGCGTCCCAACGTAGAGTATGTCTGAGAAAACGTCTGAATGTGAATCAGGAATATTTTTAACACTTTGACACATTCCAAGTTCTCCTCTGTCTCTTTTCCCAACAGTTTTATGTGACACAGCATCACAAGGAGGGCATAATTGCATAGTCAAAGGAAAATTATAGTTCTCAAATAGTTTTACAGATGGAAATTTGAGAAGTGTGCCGTACATTTGCATTTAACTCGCCTGAGTCAGCATTTTGTTGCTTCTGTTTCTGCTTTGACAGCCCAATATTCAGACAACACGCCTCGAGTTCAGCCAGACAGGATGGACAGAATCTGTCAAGTTCAATTTACTGGTCTTACCACAAACTCTTTGTGGGATATAGAGCCAGACTTTGGCTAGGCCACATTACACATGCATGTGCTTTATGGATTTAATTCTCTATGCCCTCTGGTTCTTCTCCACAGTATGATGCTGCCACCACCATGTGTGGTGGCAGCATATGAATGAGCTCTTCAAAGTAGCTTTCTGCCACTCTGTTCAGTTCTCCTCTCGTCTGACCAGATCACCTTCCTCCATGTTTGCTGTGTTCTCTGCTTAGCTTGTGGCAAACTGCAAACTTGTGGCAAACTGCAAACCTAGCTTCTCTGCTAGGTTGTTATCGTTAACCAAAACTAAGGAAATAACAAAAACTAGATGCAAAAGAAAAGTTTTTGCTAACTGAAGTAAAAATAAAAACAACCTTTTGCAAAGAAAAAACAAGGAAAGCTAAGTGAAATTGTAATGAGGTTTTACAGAGCATCATGTCAGGGAAAGCAGGGAGAAAGCACCAGAGTCCAATTTGGGATTATTTTGAACAGAACTGTGTTTTAGTTAAAAGTGTCCTGCAGAGAAACCAGATATAATGTGTAGGACAATATTAAGTTGGGAAAATTCCACAAGTCTTAAAGACAACTTCATTGTGTCCATGAGACTTGCTTATCCATGCTAACTAGCCCTAGCAATCGTGACAAAATCTGCTGTTCTGTAGCAGAGAGCAAAAAGATACAGGGGTCAGCGGTGCGCACACGGGAATGATTGGCAGCACTAAGACCCGCCTACTGCATTGGATTGTTCATTTCTAGTTAGCACTGGGAGAAGGAAGAGTATCTCAACCTTTTCATAGATTTTCTATGACTTCAACAAAAAGTTAAAAAAGTTTTTTTTTTTTAAAAGAAAAGTTACATACTGCAGCTTTAAAGAGTATAAACACATTTGCATGGCATTATATTAGCATGTTTCATTGAAGCCCAGACTCCGATCAGCGCAGTGGGCTTTGTCAGCAGTACCATATAGAGCGTGCCATGTGGGGTAAGGCTCGCTGTCCTCCTCCTGCTCCTTGTCTTCCACCACCTCTGGCAGCGTGACAGGAAAGTGTCTCCCCTCCTGAGCCTCCAGAAGGCCTGCAGCAGGGTTCAGGTCCGATCCCAGTCCACCACCAGCCGCAGCAGCCGCCGCAGCAGCAGCTCTCATGTGAGCTCCTTCCACCAGAGGCAGCAAGGAGATGAGCACCCACAGCAGAACCTGAGCACAGAAAAAACAAACTGGACCTCACATCTAGCTCCTCACAGCACACCAACACGCTACACTGCAAAAACACAAAATCGACATATAAAATAATATATATAAAAAAGAATTTTTGGTCTAGTTTCTGGTGCAAATATTAAGAAGACAAACTAACTTTTAGGTCATTTTTAGCAAGATATAGAGGCTTGTTTTAAGGAAATAATTTCTTAATATTAACAAAAATGTACTTATGCCAGTGGCAGGTTATTTCACTTATAGCAAGATGTTTTTCACATTATAAGTGAAATGATCTGCTAGTGGAACAAGAACTTCTTCATCAATATTAAGAACTTATTTACTTGAAAGAAGCCTTCAAGTTACCTTTAAGTTCATTTATCTTATTTCAAGTTTAATAAGATATTTGGACCAGAAACCGGACCAAAAATACTTGGTAAGATTTTGTGTTTTTGCAGTGTAATTACATCCTGCCAGTTTCTACTGATTTGCATTGTGGGTAATAAAAGGACCATGAACTAGAACAGTCAGCTTTTAATGTTGCTGTGTTTTATTTATGACGTTGCAGGACAAATAAATTCTCTACCAGCAAAGAGATAAATAGAAGTATGAATTTGTATACAATGACGACAGTCTGCTTTCTGCTTCAGCTTTGATCCAAGCAGTGTGATGAATTCCTCTGTCTTGGCGTTTCAAGAAGAAAATAACTGAAACTATTTTCCTCTTTACAGTTCTGTTCGCTGTGGGTTTAGTAAATAAAATGAGAACTGACCACAATGAACAAAACTCTGTGTTTGTGTGAGAACAGGGCATGACCGCCACCGCAGAGCCAACATATTTGGCACCGTTTTCATTTATTTTTCTTTCTGCGTGTTTTCAGCCAGTCTGAGCAGAAATGTACCAGCAGTCGCAGCAGATCCATAGGGAGTAAAATGAACGCTGATATCAGCATCAGCTCCCAGTGTTCACCTTCTGGAAATGTAAACGTGTTGGACGAATCACTGAACTTTTATGGATTTACAGTGTTGCGTAAAATCTTAAACAAAAATTGAAAACATGTTCTAATTATTTTTATTTAGAACCACAAATGCAACTATTCTTATCACTCTTGCTTTATGATCATTAGCATTATAATGATCATTTATAATGTGTAATATTTATTTCTAAATGTTTTGATTTTGATCCAAGCATGCACAGAGAAAGGCTGCATGGTGATGCTTATGTTTACATGAACGTTGTGATTTTGCTGCTTTTATTTAAAATATTGTCAGATTTATTTTCAGATGAAGTGTGAAATTAAATTCTGCACAAGTAGTGAAAAACATAGAATTGCATTAATTTGCATTAATGCAAATTAATTTTTATACATTTTAATTAATGCATTCAATTAATTGAATTAATTTGCATGTTTAATTGAAAACATGCAGCAGAAAACCAGCAGGCCTCCTCAACCCTGTCATGCATGAATGATGATCCTTTATGTCAGGATTTCTTGTGTCTTGGATTTTCTTAAGGCATAAAAAAACAGTGGGAAAAAAATTGAGTGAAATATTTTCTAGGTTATCAGTTGTAATTTTTGAAAATACCAAGTTGGACAAATACATCAGTGGTTTTACTCTTGAGGGGTTGGGAGAGTCCTCTACTGTAGAAGAAGGGACCGGATTTACATGAAGCATGACAGATTCAGTCTTTAAAACTGAATCCGGTCTGTGTTTACCTGCAACAAGATTATATCAAAACTGAGTCCATGGATGGAAAATATTTCCACACACTTTTAACTTTTCAAACACATCTTTGTTAGAAGGAAATGGCTTTAACTACATGTTGCATTGGAGCATTAAAGTGGTGAGGCCAGGGGCGGAAATCCCTCTGACATGGTCCATGATGAGCTTGAGAACAGTGAAGTCGGAGCCGTCCTGTGATGCTGGTCGTGTCTCCTTTAAGGAAGACTCATAATTAACTCATTGCCATCAACACCACAGGAGCTGCTTACTGCTGCAGTCATGACAGCGTGGTTAAAATGAGCTCTCTGTCGTAGCCCGCTGCTTTATGGCCATGCTATTAATAAACCCCTTACACATTCCCACACTTTGTCACGTTACAATCACAAACTTAAATATATTTCATTGGAATTCAGTATGAAAGACCAACGCAAAGTGCTGTACAATTGTGAAATAGAAAGAAAATCATTCTTTTCAAAATTTGTTTTACAAATAAAACGCTTAAAAGTGTGGTGTGTGAAAAGTATTCAGCCCCCTGAGTGAATGCTTTATGGAACCACCTTGTGCTGCAGGTACAGCTGCTAGTCTGTAGGGTTTGTCTCTACCAGCTTTGATCATCCATTGACTGAAATGTTTGCCCATTTTTCTTTTCCAAACATCTTAAGTTCAGTCAGATTAAATGCAGTTTTCAGATCTTGCCACAGATTCTGGATTGGGTTAAGGTCTGGACTTTGACTAGGCCATCCCAACACATGAATTTTGTTTAAACCATTTGTTGCAGGCCTGGATGGTTGTTCTGCTGGAAGCCAAACCTTCACTCCAGTCTCCAGTCTTTAGACTTCAACAGGTTTTCATCCAACATTGTCCTGTATTTGGTTCCATTCATCTTCATATCAACTCTGACCATCATCCCTGTCCCTGCTGGAGAGAAGCAGCTCCAGAGCATGATGCTGCCACCACCACAGACAGAGGGGATGCTGTGTTCAGAGTGGTGTGCACAGTTAGTTCTCCGCCACACACAGTGTTTTGTATTTTGACCTAAAAGTTGAATTTTGTTGTTTGTTGTGACCAACATGGCTTCTGGAAAACTGCAAACGGGACTTTTTATGTTTTTCCTTCAACAACAGCTTTCTTCTTCCAGAAAGACACATTTGTGCACTGAGTGTTTAGTTATTAGCAGGCGTCAGGAAACTTCTGAAGGAAACTGGTTGCACTCAGAGAAAAAGGGCCTGAATACTTTTGTATGCTGCACTTTTCACATTTTTATTTGTGAAAAAATGTTTGTGGTTGTAACGTCACAAAATATGGATAAGAACAAGGGGTGTGAAAACTTTTCCAAGCCATTGTAGGTAAACTTTTGATGATGAGCATTAGGGCCGTGCTAATAAAAAAATAAAACATTCAACAAGTAAAATTAAGAGAATCCATAATGTTACAAAATAAAGTCATATGAGAATAATATTCTTTGAATAAAATTGTATTATCATGATGTTATTCTTGTAATTTTATGGCTGTGTTCTCATAATTTCATTTTTTACATTTTCTTAGCGTGGCTCTAATACTCTACTGTAACAAATCATTTAAGATAAATTCTGAGAAAGAGGGTTTAAAAAAAAGCAAGGTGAAAAGTTTGCCCTTGACAGAATTCCTTAAAAACTCTTGATATATATTCACATGTTCTACTGTATTTGAATTTTCTCCCTTTCACATGTAAAATAATCCAACTCCATCACACACACAGCAGAGATCTGATTGGTCCAGATGTTCCTACCAGAACACTTCATCCTCAATCTGCAGGTTTATGCTGGTTCCTAGAGCTTCTGTCACTAGAATGGGAGACAGAGCCTTTAGTTATCAGATCTACTTTTAAGTCTCGGCTTAAAGCTTGTATTTTTTCCTCTGTCTGTAGTGACGCTGCTGTAGGCTCAGACTGCCAGAGGACAGAACGACCACTTTTCCTCCTTCTGTCACTTTTTCCTACTGATCTCTATAGTTCCGCATTATTTACTGTTTTGAAACTTTCCTTTTTTCATTTCTTGTAGAGACTACATCTTCTTTTTCTCTAACAGAAAGTATTCCTGGATCAGTGCTCATGTTTCTGCTCTGTCTCCTCAAACCTCCAGACGGTGGAGGCAGACGACCGTTCACACAGAGCCAGGTTCTGGTTCTGGTTCTGGTTCTAATTCTGGTTCTGGTTCTGGTTCAGGTTCTGGTTCTGTTCTGGTTCAGGTTCTGGTTCAGGTTCTGGTTCTGGTTCAGGTTCAGGTTCAGGTTCTGGTTCTGGTTCTGGTTCAGGTTCTGGTTCTGGTTCTGGTTCAGGTTCTGGTTCTGGTTCAGGTTCTGGTTCTGGTGGAGATTTCCTCCTTATGAAGAAACCTCCACTGTCACTACATGCATGCTCGGTATGATGGACTGCTGCGCAATGCAACCTGCTGGGTTTCCTCAGACAGAAAACGTTTTCACTAGTTTTAATCATAAACTGAACTCATATTGTTTGATGATGAAAGCATGTATGTGTCATTGGTCCGAATTGATTTTTTTGTGAAGTGCCTTGTGATATCGTGTTGTGAATCGGCACTATACAAGTAAACCAAACTGAAGTTTTTTTTTGCTGACTTTGTTATTCTTCCATCAGTGGAACGGTGAGGAAACTGGACTGAGAGCAAAATGAAGACAAGGAAGAGGATGTTCTTGACAAACCTTGGCCTTTGCCGACATGACAGAAGAAATGTGTCTATCCTTCCTCCAAACCCTCCATCTGGTCCCACCTGGAGAAACAGAGGAAGAAAGGCAGAGAGGAATTTCAGAACAAGAACAAGGCTTCACCTCGTCAGCTTTCTTTATACCAAAAAGACAAACATAAACCCAAGGCGCAACATGCGGGTAGTGTGAAGCGTATAAATTCACAATTGTCCAGATACTGTAACCAAGAAAAGAAATGCCCTGCGGGCCCCTGAACAAGTCGGCATGTGACATAAATCACGTCCTCCGAGCAATGAGGACAGTGTTTTTGTTGCTGCTTTTAGAAAAAGAGACGTGTTTTCTGCCAACAGCTGCGGCTAGTGTCGGCTTGTCGGCTCATACAGCCATGGAAATGGCCCCGGTCGAGCAACAAAAGGCAGCGTCTGTGATAGTCTTGTCAAAGACATTCTTGGGGCTATTTCTGTGACAGAGGTATAAGCAGGGGAAACGAGGCATAGCCGGGACCCTCTGTGGAGGTCCCGGACAAAAACCGCAGAGAGGCACTGCAGCTGATAACGGATCCCAGTGAGGCAGATGTTTATATATAGTATGTGCGCCGCTGAAGATACTGTTGTCCGCCGGGCAACCGTGACATGAGGTCACCCGCTTCGGATCTTGTGAACAAACAAACATTATTGAAATGATAGCCTGTTGAAAAAAAAGAGCATTATCTTGTAAATGTTTCTAACTTAGTCTCTGTGAGTAATTGAAACTCATGATTTATTTTGAGACACAACCACCTGTCTCTCAAAACAGGAGAGACAGGTGACATCAGAGGTTTGTGGACTTTCTTTGGATCTTGATCCTGAGATCTGGATACTTGGAGATTTTGAGTCCCTGAAATGATTTCCTTGCAAAAGATACTTTGTTTTGATGGCGTCAGCTGCGGCAAAAAAGACAAATTGGAAATCTACAGAATCTCCAAACCAGAAATGTTAGCTGAACGAACTGCTGTTGTGATGCGAGTCTGAAAAAAAAAGCTCGGTTCAGTCCAGGAGTCATTCACAGAGTTTGACTGGACATGGACTCCATTCTGGGACTGATTTGTATTAGTTTTTGCTGAATTGTCTCAATTTGAATGTAATTTTTTTCCTCATTTTTCTAGCCTTGCAGGTATTTGTGTGAAGTGTAATGCCACATTACGTTTTTACTGCATGTATTGCTGATAGAGAGAATGTCGGGTGGATGAGGTTTACGTTTGTGGCTTGTTTCTCAACCAGAAATAGTATGTACTGAATTCTCAAAAAATAATATATTCATACAAAAAACAAAATAAAATGGGACATGGCAGCATCTATGAAAAAGAAATAAAATAAAAATTGAGCAAACAGAAGCTAAACTGTGACAGAAATAAGGAAATCTTTAGCGCTTAAAGGAAGTAAACAGCAATGATTTCACTCTTCATTTGAAAGGGAGGAAAGTTTCTGATTGTCACAAATTATATGTACTTGAGCATATAAAAAAATATTCAGCATTCTATTAATAATTGGGATCTGATAATTGCAAACATTGCAAAAAATAAAATATAATATAAATGCATGTAGTAGAATAAGTAAAAATAAAACTTTCATTTAAGGTAAAAATAGGTTGGATTTATGATGCAATGTTTGGAGTATATAGTCTAGGGCTACGACTAACAGTTGTTTTAAAAATCAATTATTCTGTTGATTAATTTGATTTTTTAAAAATGAGCACAATTTTCAGATTTTTCATTTAAACTGTTCTGTAATACACTATTAGAAATGCACAAGAAAATGCAAATAAGCAACTCAGTCATCATAGATAACAGCCTGAACAGCTCAGTCCTTTCTGCTGGACTTGACATCAGAACAGTGAAGAGCTGATCTGCTGATTCACTTTTGGAAAAGTGGATTAATAACTGAATACCAAAAGATTCTCAACGGGAGATTTTCCTCTCCAGAATTTGAACCAGATGAAGTTGAAACTAAGACACTGCAGGAGTTTTGGGCCAAACATATTTACAAAGGTTTTTCTTCATATCTTAAATGCAAAACATATATATATTTTTTTTTTCTTTTTTTTTTTTTTTTACGTTTTGGCTTAAATACTGCACTGAATGTGTTATTCTCAGAGCACATTAACTCTTTTTTTTGACTCTATACTTCAGTTAACAATTAATTGATTACTAAATGGGTTGTTTACTTCAAAAATCAATTAGTTACTATTCATCAGATGAATTGTTTCAGCCCTAATACAGTCCATTATATCTTTTAATGGATAGATTTGCCAGCAGCTGTTTTTCTGTGATCCTTCCCTGGTATTTTCGGGGAAATTCCCGTTGGTATGTTTGGTGCTGCATGCAGCCAAACAGCTTACAGCAGATATGGAAAAACAACAAAAACTTTGCGTTACACAGATTTAGATCACTGCATATTATTCCAGCACTATTGGGAGAGATGTAAGCTTGAATTCATTCTCAGCCAACATCAGCAAACTTTGTTCAGTGTTTATTAATGAAGCATTTCTACATGCAAACAGTGATCAGAATGAATCAGTAGCTGGCTGCTCCTTCTGGCCTGCGAACATTAAACAGTGAGAATGTGATGGAACAGGTAGAGAACTAGAACACAGATGTCGATCTGAATTCTAATGTCTGCGATCTATAAAAGCGATTCTCTAATCTATAGATGATCTGGTAGAAGCTGTTTCTACAGTAATAAAGTACAGCTGCGTTCAAAATCACCAACCACATCCACACTGTTTCTGATAGACACAGTTCTATGCTGCAGATCAATTTACTAGATGTGGTAGAGTAAAAGAAAAGCAACAGAGCCAACCGCCATTACACTGACATCCTGTTACTGTACAACTGCATCATGAACTGAAGGTACAGACTCACCGATGCACCGATACCTGTATCGGTACCAATACTAAAAAAAAAATCTAGATTGATTATCAGTGATAATGCGCCTGATCTAAGAAGGCAGATCTATTCAGTCTAATTCTATGCTTTGTGCTCCGTCAAGCTTTATTGTTTATTTATTTTAAATTTAGACTTCCTAATATCACTTTCTGACCATTTGTAGCCATTTTTTTGTCAGTTTCTATGAAATTTATTTCACATTGGTTTTTTTACGCCTAACAAATGAAAAGCAACTTTAATTAGTAAAAAAACAAGTGAAAGTTATTTTCACATGTTTGACTAAGCTTGTGGAGCTGCCGCTGTGTCTGAGTGAGCTGTATTGTGCAGAGTTATAAAATACATTTGTAATTCAATATATTTATGTCTGTGTTTAAGTCAATTCTGTATCAGCTGATACCGAACCTCAAATATTGACGTCAGTACCCAAAGTGAAAACCTGGATCGGTCCGTTTTCAGTTGGTGAGGAAGTTCAGTCTGTAAACTACAGATGAGCCAATATTGGCTCATGTTTTATGCCGGTTGTAATATCTTCTCTGAAAACCTAAATAAAGCTAATTCATAGAACTGAGAGGAGCAGCATACTTTCAATAAAACTAGAGTGAAGAAAAGATACAACAATCTCAAATGATTTCAGATACATCCCAAGACCAAAGACAGGAAGGATCCTCTAACTCAGAGGTCTCAAACTGCATTCCTTAAGGGCCGGTGTGCTGCACCCTCTTGATGTCTCTGTGCGGCAGCACACCTGGCTCCACTATCAGCCCATTAGTAGAGCTTGACTGCATGCTAATGCTAATGAGGCAGTTTAGCCATTGAACTCAAGTGGGACAAGGGACACATGTAAAAGTTGCAGGACTCTGGTCCTCGAGGAACGCTGTTTGAGACCACTGGTCTAATTGGAGCAAAGAAAAGCTGACATGTCAAAGATTCAGCCACCCATCACAGAAGTCACTTGCGAAAAACACTTTTCATTTTTCATACTATAAGCCAGAAGTGTCCTTGCAATGTTGCAGCTAGTTTAACGTTTATTTTGCTCTGAAATGATCCAAAGTCATTTGATGCAGTGTTTATTTGGACAGACATTCATGTGGTCATTGTTACAAATAACATGAACAGATTGTTATGAGCCATTAACATCCCATAATCCACCAACGTCACTGGATAAAAAACAAACACACGCCTTCACAGTAAACAGTCCGCAGCAGCTGCAGCCTGTAGCTCACATCCTGGCTTCCTTTCACTTTTCCTTACATGAAATAAAAACTGTTAATAAGACACAAGCATCAGACCACAAGCATCAGACCACAAGCACAAGCCAAGGCTCCAGTTTTTAGGGCACAATTCCAAAGTATGAAGTTTTTTATTTTTGTGACTTAAGTGCAAATTAAGTTGCCATTTCTGGTTGGTTTGAGACCAACATGGTTAACAGTATTAAGTGGTCAAATTAATTTTACTGAGTTATTTCCTTTTTACCTTTAGCAATATATTAAATATAATATTCCAACGACATAAAGGAGAAACGAACCGAACTGCAGGTCTGAAAAAGAGTCTCAGACGTTTGCTTTAGTCAAAGGAAAGGTGTGCAGTTTCCTAACTTTTTGGATAAATGTTTTTTTCCACTTCGTTGGTCTATAAAATGTTTTAGTCCATATCTAAAACCAGTGATCTATTAAACCATACCGTTCATGAATGCCCACGTCTGTTTTTGAGTAACAAGTCAATGGATGTTTATGGTCTGACTTACTATGATATTAAAATTAAAGCAAAAAAAAACAAAAAAACCCAACAACAACACATGACTAAAGGAAGTGAAATACTGTGTTTTTTAACCTAACTTTTTTTCATTTAAGAAGATGGAAAATCTCAAACCAGAAAATACCAAAAAGCTCCATTTGCCAAATTTGTTCCATTCTTGAACTGCAGCCGAGGGAGAGCCAGGCTCCGGACGGCCCTGCCCTAAATGACTGAGTTTCTGAAGAAAAAATACTGACAATGTTTTTTTTACAACTGCTTAATATTCATTTATCCAAAATTATTTTTAGATTGATACAAAATGCAATATATTTATTATGTTTAGATTTGGGGTTAAATATGCAAATTTCCTGATGCATTCCAACTGCATTTATGGAAATTGCTCACTTT